GCGTGGTCTGTCTGTCTAACCTCACGCGGGTACGTCTGTTTGTCTCTCTGTCTCTTCGTCTGTCTGTTTGTCTGTCTGTCTGTCTAACCTCACACGGGTACGTCTGCCTGCCTGTCTGTCTGTCTGTCTGTCTGTCTGTCTGTCTGTCTGTCTGTCTGTCTAACCTCACACGGGTACGTCTGTCTGTCTCTCCGTCTGTCTGTCTGTTTGTCTCTCCGTCTGTCTGTTTGTCTGTCTGTCTCTCTTTCTGTCTGTCTGTCACTGTCTCTGTCTGTCTCTGTCTCTCTGTCTGTCTCTCTCTGTCTGTCTGTCTGTCTGTATAATATTATTGTCTGTTTGTGAATGTATTGGTACTCAATTTGTATGTCTACAAGTGTATACTTCCTCTGTACGTGAGTGTGTGTCTGTCTGTATGTGTGTGTGTTTCTGTGTGTGTGCGTATGTGTGTGTGTGTGAGTATGTGTGTGTTGGAGTGTGTGTTGGAGTGTGTCTGTGTGTGTGAGTATGTGTGTGTTGGAGAGTGTGTGTGTTGGAGTGTGTGTGTATGTCTGTGTATGTGTCTGTGTGTGTGCGTATGTGTGTGTTGGGGTGTGTGTGTGTGTGTGTGTGTCGAAGCAGGTGTGTAGTGTGTCGTGTGTGTGTCACCGCAGGTGTGTTATGTGTCGTGTGTGTCACCGGGTGTGTAGTGTGTCGCCACAGGTGTGTAGTGTGTCGCCGCAAATGTGTAGTTTGTCGCCACAGGTATGTAGTGTGTCGTGTGTGTGTGTGTCGCCAGGTGTATAGTGTGTCGTGTGTGTGTCACCGCAGGTGTGTAGTGTGTCGTGTGTGTGTGTGTCGCCAGGTGTGTAGTGTATAGTGTGTCGTGTGTGTGTCGCCGCAGGTGTGTAGTGTGTCATGTGTGTGTCGCCGCAGGTGTGTAGTGTGTCGTGTGTGTGTCGCCGCAGGTGTGTAGTGTGTCGTGTGTGTCGCCACAGGTGTGTAGTGTTTCGTGTGTGTGTCGCCACAGGTGGGTAGTGTGTATTCTTCGTGTGTGTATCGCCTGGTGTGTAGTGTGTCGTGTGTGTGTTGCCGCAGGTGTGTAGTGTGTATTCTTCGTGTGTGTGTCGCCTGGTGTGTAGTGTGTCGTGTGTGTGTCGCTGCAGGTGTGTAGTGTGTCGTGTTTTTGTCGCCAGGTGTGTCGTGTGTGTGTCTCTGCAGTTGTGTAGTGTGTCGCCGCAGGTGTGTAGTGTGTCGTGTGTGTGTTGCCGCAGGTGTTTAGTGTGTAGTGTGTCGTGTGTGTGTCGCCTGGTGTTCAGTGTGTTGTGTGTGTGTCGCCGCAGGTGTCTAGTGTGTTGTGTGTGTGTCGCCTGGTGTGTAGTGTGTCGTATGTGTGTCGCAACAGGTGTACAGTGTGTCGTGTGTGTGTCGCAACAGGTGTATAGTGTGTCGGGTGTGTGTGTCGCCGCAGGTATTTAGTTTGTTGTGTGTCGTGTGTGTGTCACCGCAGGTGTGTAGTGTGTCGTGTGTGTGTGTGTTGCAAGATATGTAGTGTGTCGTGTGTGTGTCGCAACAGGTATGTAGTGTGTCGGGTCTGTGTGTCACCGCAGGTATTTAGTTTGTTGTGTGTCGTGTGTGTGCGTCGCCGCAGGTGTGTAGTGTGCCGTGTGTGTGTGTGTGTGTCGCCAGGTGTGTAGTGTGTCGTGTGTGTGTCGCCACAGGTATGTAGTGTGTCGTGTGTGTGTCGCCGCATGTGTGTAGTGTGTCGTGTGTGTGTCGCTGCAGGTGTGTAGTGTGTCGTGTTTTTGTCGCCAGGTATGTAGTGTGTCATGTGTGTCGCCGCAGGTGTGTAGTGTGCCGTGTGTGTGTGGCCGCAGGTGTGTAGTGTGTCGTGTGTGTGTGTCGCCGCAGGTGTGTAGTGTGTATTCTTCGTGTGTGTATCGCTTGGTGTGTTGTGTGTCGCCTGGTGTGTAGTGTGTCGTGTGTGTGTCGCCTGGTGTGTAGTGTGTCGTGTGTGTGTCGCCTGGTGTGTAGTGTGTCGTGTGTGTGTCGCCTGGTGTGTAGTGTGTCTTGTGTGTGTCGCTGCAGGTGTGTAGTGTGTTGTATTTTTGTCGCCAGGTGTATAGTGTGTCGTGTGTGTGTCGCCACAGGTGTGTAGTGTGTATTCTTCATGTTTGTGTCGCCTGGTGTGTAGTATGTCGTGTGTGTGTCGCCGTAGGTGTGTAGTGTCTTCTGTGTGTGTCGCCGCAGGTGTGTAGTGTGTCGCCGTAGGTGTGTAGTGTGTCGTGTGTGTGTCGCCGCAGGTACACATGTCGGGTGTGTGTGTGTCGCCTGGTGTGTAGCGTGTCGTGTGTCGCCGCAGGTGTGTAGTGTGTCGTGTGTGCGTTGCCTGGTGTGCAGTGTGTCATGTGTGTGTCGCTGCAGGTGTGTAGTGTGTCGTGTGTCGCTGCAGGTGTGTAGTATGTCGTGTGTCACTGCAGGTGTGTAGTGTGTCGTGTGTGTATCGCTGCAGGTACACATGTCGGATATGTGTGTGTCGCCTGATGTGTAATGTGTCGTGTTTGTGTCGCCGCAGGTGCACATGTCGGACGTGGTAGATGACATCAACGAGCGACACATGAGGCCATGGTCAGACGCCTGTCACCGAGACAACCTGTCCAACACGCCGCTCAACCCGTTCATAGACCAGGTGAGCTACACACAACACACACACAACACACACAACACACACACACCACACACACAACACACACACAACACACACACAACACACACACACACAACACACACACACAACACACA